GGGGGGGGGGGGGGGGGGGGGGGGGGGGGGGGGGGGGGGGAGTAGGATCTTTGCAGCAGGTAACATCAAAATGATTTTCTGTGTAGGTTGGTGTGGTACATGGAGCATGAATAGGGTGATCAGTAAACTTGACTTTGTGTGTTTTAACCAGCCTCTGAAGGGGCATAGGAGCCGAATTGTGGGTGTGTAACGTGCACAACTTCGTGCAGGGAGCGAACAAGTGATGTTGGAGTCTATGGGATAATTCTTGGTGGTTTGCATTTCCCCGGATCTCTTCTGCTTTCTTGCGGTTATTTACATGTACCTGGTACATCCTGCTCTTGTGTTTTGGGGGTGAGAACGTGCCTCGGCACAGCCTCCGTGAGTGCACATGGGGCTGTAGGCTTCAGTGTGCCGGGAGAGGAGAGATGCTCTTAGAGCTGGGAGGGTGCCTGGTGCTGCAGGTGAGCACACCACAGGCCTGCAGCACACTGAGCATCTCCGGCAGGTCGGGGGCTCGCTCCAGCTCTCGCCACCCTCCTGGACCGGTTCCTGCCTTCCAAGGGTAGCGAATCTCTTGTCTCTGTGTGATGTCGCTCTGTGTGTGTGCAGCCCCCATATGCCAAGTGCAAAAGCAGGATCACTGTCCTGCTTGTTTTCCAAGCAGGGGTTTGCAGCACAAGGGCATTTCCAGCTGGAAAGGCTGACCCTTTAGGATTAAAAACCTAGGTGCTATTTTCTTGCCTGCAGGCTAATGGGTATGTAGTTGCTCTACATAGCCACTCATTAATTCACAAATAGCAAGGATATTTTTTGCATGGGTCTTTCAAATAAAGTCTTAAGATTGTACAAAAAAAAAAAAAGAATAGTTGGATAATGGTGTGCAGATGGCCCGTGATTGTCGCTCGGCATAGGACTGGGAGCTGGCTTGATGCCTGTGTGTCTCAGGACGGCAAGGTTCTCTGTGCCACCTCTACAACGGGAGCAATGGTGTTTCAGCCCCCGTGCACTCTGTGGATGGATGGACCCAGGCAGGCAAATCGCTGAAGGAGCGGCAGTCAGCTCTTGGGTACCTGGTGGCCTGTGGGCTGCAGGTGGCGGTTCCTGGGTGGTGTGTGCTGTGCTGAGATCCCCCCTTGCCAGCTGGCAGTGTGTCCCCTCTGGGACAGCTCTGTGGTCTGGGGTCCCTCTGCGCAGCCACTAGCTGTGGTGGAGCGGGCCCCGGGGCTGAGCCTGCCTGCAGCCACCCCAGCTGGCTGGCGTGTGATCCCTGCCCAGCGCTGTGCGTGTCCCTGCCTTGCTCTGCGGGCTGCGAGATACTTCCCATCCTGGAGGGGATCCATTGGTTTGGGGAGGGGTGGGGGGGTTCAGTCTGGAGAAGAGGAGGCTGAGGGGAGACCTCCTGGCCCTCTGCAACTCCCTGCCAGGAGGGGGCAGAGAGGGGGGATGAGTCTCTGGAGCCAAGGAGCCAGCGCCAGGCCCCGAGGGAATGGCCTCAAGCTGCCCAGGGCAGGGTCAGGCTGGCTCTGAGGAAGGATTTCTGTGCAGAAGGGGCTGTTGGGCGTTGGAATGGGCTGCCCAGGGCAGGGGGGAGTCCCCATCACTGGAGGGGTTGAAGAGTCGGGCTGACCCAGCGCTGAGGGATCTGGTGGAGTTGGGAACGGTCAGTGTGAGGGTCATGGTTGGACTGGAGGAGCTTCAAGGGCTTTTCCTGCGTGATTGTGTTTTTTCATCAGCACTAAGTGTGTGAGTCTAACCCTGTGGGCTTCCCCAGGCTGGGGCTCAGGGAGGGTTCAGGCTGTCCCAAAGCCAAAAGAATTGTGGAGGTGCAGTCCTGCTCCAGACATCTTGAGGTGGGTGGGACTGGCTCTCTGTTGACCACTTCTTTCCCCTGGTTCCTCTAGCCCAGTCCATGTACCAGCCTTCAGGTGTTTCTGTTGCCACCCAGGTGGAAGGGTTGTAACAACAGTCTGCTGTGCTCAGGCTGTGGATGGCAGAAATGCTGCCGTGGGGAAAGGATGCTCTTTATGGCTCTGCTCATTTTTACTTGGTGAGACTGAGCTGCTTTGTAGCCTTGCTTTATGGGTGGGGAGCACGGCTGCTCCACTTGTAGCTTTTATTTTGTAGACTGCTTTGTCCCAATGGATGAGGTGTGTTTCTTGGGGAGCTGCTTTTTACTCTGCTCCACCAAGTTTTGCTGGGGTCACTGGTCAGCAGTGTTGGAGGAGACAAATGGCATGTGCTGTGTGGAGACAGACGGGCAGATGTATACGTTACACACTTGGAGCCCTGCCCAGGGGAACATGGAAAGCAGATGTTGGATTGGTGACCTGCTGGATAAGCCATGGGCCCTTGCTTCCTCCTGTGCCTCTGTGGTCTGGCTTGGACAGAGCTGGAGTTAGTAACTCTGCGGAGGCTTGGGTGAGTTCAGCACAGCCCTGGCTGGTTTGGCTGAAAGGAGTGTCTGTTCATTTTAAAGCCTGTATAGAGAAAAACATCCAAAAGTTGTGTTAAATAGGAATTGAAGCATTATCAAGAAATTGAGATGTTCTGACTTATTTTCTCTATTCTTAAAGTAGTCTGGAGGCTGCTCTAAATTATCCTGGGGTGACCAAGGGCCAGCTGGGGGTGTTGGGATGTTGGGTGCTCCCCTCATAGGCTGTCCTGCCCATCCAGACCATCCTTGCTCACTCATTAGGCATCACTTAGGGCCACCATTGGTTATCTGGATTTAGGAGCTCACGTCTGGTCCTTCTCCATCTACCCACCAAGGTGGACAAAAGCTGAGGATTTGGCCCAAAGCTTCAGATCCATTTGAACTTCAGACCCAAAGAAAGATCCAAATGGGTGAGACCATTAGCTGGGCTCCACAAACTTTCCAGACTTCCCCTAGCAAAGGAGCAGGAAATACCAGACTTTTTTCCTTTGTATTGTCCTCTGCTGTGTCACCTAACACTTTCTCACTAGACCATGATCCCTGAGGGGTAGTATCTTGCTCTGGGCTGTGGAAGAGGCTCCTCATTAACCTCCATGCAGGGCCAGGCAGCAGCAGGCAGGGCTGCCGCGTCGCCAGGGTGTGCTGGCAGTGTTCCTGGGGCTGTGTGTGGTGTAACGGCTGCTTGCCCACGGGACAGCAGTGCCTGCTTTTGCTGCTGCCCTGAGTGTCCCAGGTGTGCCAGAACGGGAGTGCAGCCTGTGTCTGCTGCCCACAGGGGAACAGCATTGGGCTTTTGGGTCCGGACTGCCTTCGTCTGCTGATCTTGGGGCATAAATATAACAGGAGGAGGAGCTGGTATAACTGGGCAAAGAAACCTTTCCTTCCCCAAAACATGAGATCTAGGCATTCCCAAGTGTGCAGGGACCTTGGGTGTGTTCGCAGCCCAGCAGGGTCGGTGCTGGTGTGGGGTGACAAGGGTCCCAGTGTCCCTTGGCAGGGGTGATGTTTCTCCTTCTCTGGTTCCTGGCTACAGCTCGGATGTGGCACAAGGATGGTTTCCTGCAGGATGGGGAGGTGCCTGTGTGAGCCTGTTGGCTTTCTGCAGCCTGAAGTTTCTTTGCTCCTAAAAAAAATAATTAAGGAGTTAAATTTATTCTTTCTTGCCCAGAGGCTTTGCTTACTGTTAGATTTACATAGTGGTTTGATAATACATGGCTGATGAGAGAAATAAAAAATATTGCTACAGGGGTGGCATGATCAGTTTTGCTGATAAGGAAAACTTCACAGTACTGGAGTGATTTTTCCTTCTGGAGTGAGGAGCAGCACTATTGTGAAATACATGCTGGAGAGGATATTTCGAGGGACTTGTGCCTTTCCTGCTCTAAGCCATATGTGCAGCTGGAGCAGCTTCAGCCCTGGCAGACTTTCAGAGCAGATTAGGAAAACTAATTGGATACAAATGCCCTGATTTGGCCCTTCTGAATATGGAGTATCTGAAGTTCAATGGGTGATTTGGGGAGTTAAATACCTCTTGTATAGAGCTGAGTCCCACAGGTGATGGACTGGATGTGGCTGATGGTTTGGAAGGGACTTGACTCTGGAAGCCCAGCATCTCAGAGGGGGCTTAACCTTTTGCTAAGGAAACTCCAACCCAGGGTGTGTCATCATTGGCAACACAAATCTCTGGATGCTTTTGGAAGTAATGGTCTGTACTTTAATTTGAGGGTGCCTCTTTTTTTGGAATCAAGCAGTTTTACAAAGTGTTTATCCAAAACATCCTTTTCCTACCAGCTCAGGGAAAGGGCAGCCTTGTGGGGCACTCGCTATAGCAACTCCTTGCTTCTGTTCTTGGCTTTTACCCTCTTTGAACCTCTGGGAAGATTGTGTTC